TTTTTGCATGCATCTTCTTAACCTTGAAATCATCAGGCAGCGCTTTACCTCCCCTTTCTTTTTCTTTTTCTTTTTTAATGTGTGGATTAATTTCTGAAAACCTAAATCATAAGCTTTACCACAGATCTGTATAACGGGTCCCAGGAAAGTGGAGCTAATCTCAGCTGACACTCGGTAAGAAGCAGAGCATGACCTGGACAAGTTGCAGTCAGTAACAGGGCCAAATAACAGCACATGATTTATGATCATAGCACAGACAATTCTACCTTTTAAAACAAGCATGAGCACAGTAAGGTCTGGATAGTTTTACAAATAACTTTTTATGACCTCAGTTTTGTTTTTAATGTACTGATGGAGAAATGTTTGAATAAAATTAAAGTTATTTGACCAGAAAGATTTTATTTATCCAACAAAACTCACCTAATGCATATTCCCCCTTCAGTTGTAGCAGACTACACAAAAAGCTGACTTTGTGCAGTTGCAATGTTGTTTTGGGGATTTTTTTGCACAAAATAAAAAATTGCATCTAGGTACCTTTCAATAAGATTTATTTTTGGGCTTCATTTGAGCCTTTATTGTAGAATCAGGTTGGTGGACAGAGTTGGAAATCAGGGAGAGAGAATGACATGCGTGAAGGAAGCCACAGATTGCAACCCGGGTCGTCTGCTTAAAGACTACAGCCTCTGAAAAATTGGGCACACATACTAACTGTTAGCCTACCTGCACCCCTCGTCTGGGTATTTTTCTCTCAATATGCTGACAGTGAATGAACTGCACTTTTGCATCTATCTTAAATTCTGTTTAATAGTATTACAAACAAACAAATAACAAAGTATGACCCGCTGTTTAGAAGCGATTTCCACATTGTTAGTCAAGTAGTTCTTCGGGAGAAGAAAACATTTCATTAAAGGTGCACTATGTAGTTTTGGTAGAGAAATGTAAAAGTTGGAGAAGTGTACAGATTCTGTGGTGTGTTCATAACTCGATACACAAACTGTCCTCAGAGGAAGATTTGGTCCCTGTAACACTGTTTGAAGATAAAATGCTATGCGAGAAGTTATGGTGGGGGGTCCACAACAGTGAAACCGTAACTCTCCTGGTAGCTTTTTAGCTCCAAACAGAGTTCCAGGGACTTGTTGTTTCCTTTGAATAAAGTTTGTGTATTTAGTTCAGAAAATATAGAATAGAATTGTTTCACTTCTCCAACTTAAAAATTTCACCACCAAATCTACATAGTGCACCTTTAAATAACTTTAAGTTTTGTCTACGAGCAGTCCGATTTCAAATTATTTAGCCAGTACTTCTCAAATCTTTTAAACCCTTCAGCACACAGACTCCGTGTCCTCAATACTAGTTATTTCCGTGCAAATCATGATTTAGTTTTTAGAGTTGATAGAGTCAAATTTAAGAAGCATCAAGTGCAAATACATTCTGTAAAGTAATCTGTCTGAGTGTTGAAATCAGATGGACAGACACAGACAGTTCCTGCATCAGAGGGATTTGGTTCAGTGTTTATGTGTCTATGTTGGATTGCTGACCTCGCGTATGAGAAACTCTTCTACAGTAGCAATGATTGATACTCTATACCTTCACTGGGATAGTAATGAGCTGGAAGCTCAAAGACTCCAATGTCCCTGGAGAAGCAGGCTGACACAGACTGCTGCATTTGTTCATTTTATAGAATGGTAATTAGTGCTGCACAGACTCAGACTATAGGAACCCGACAGCCACAGTGTGCGAGACTGTGTATTTGATTTTGAGTTTGTGTGCAAATAAGTGGTTCACTCAGTTTTTGGTGTATCAGTGTGTGACAGTGCTCATTTAGGTGACAAAAATGATAAAGCAAAAATACACATCAACAAACACTTTACAGAAGTTAATGAAAACAAGGAGCCATTAAGTTGGAAATGCAATCCTGATTGTCATCCAACTTTCACAGAGAGACACCATCTGTGCAAAATTTGACTTATCAGCGATGATCCTGGACGAGCCCGACTGTGACCAGACAACATGTCACCGCTGTCTGATGCACAGCTGAAAGATATTTCAACTTGTCTCTCTTTGCTTTTTTTTATAAGCTTTTATTTATTTAAAAAAAATGGATAGTTGGATATTATTTGATATGCAGCTATTTTTGTAACAAAACAGTTTCCCAGAAATAGATAAATAATGCCAACAAAGATCTATACACAAATACACAAATGAGTACACAGATACACAAGTGCATACTGAAATGCGTACTTATACAAATGCATACACAGATCTGCATTTACCTAAAGCAATTTGTTAATGAATGCATAATTATTATTGACTAAAAAGTCCTCCAAGAATCGCCACCTTAATGTGGTGGAGGAGTTTGCGTGTCCCGGTGAACCCGGGAGCTGTGTTGTCGGGGGCACTAGCCCCTGGTAGGGTCTCCAAAGGCAAAGTGGTCCCAGGTGTGGGGCCAGACAACAAATACCCCTATGAAGCAGCACACATTGGTGTAAATCAAGCTCATGCTTGTTTTAAATGGTAGAATTGTCTGTGCTATGATCATAAATCATGTGCTGTTATTTGGCCCTGTTACTGACTGCAACTTGTCCAGGTATATTTTACAATTTTTGTGTAAACTTAAAAAGTAACTCATCTTCATAACTCAACTAAATGCAGTTAAAATGTGCCTTTTTCACCCTTTTTGAATATAGTGTAGAAGTATACAGTATCATCAAGATAGACTAAACCCTTGACTGTTAAATACTCATTTAGGTTGCTCACAGTTCCTAGCAATATATGTCTCTCTACCATGAAACGATTGGAAGGCACCAAACAGCAGGTTTATCAATTTTTCTCTGACAACAGAAGCCTTTAATGAGCGACACTGATGAAAAGTTTCGAGGGACCAACACATCAAAGCTGTGAGCTGCAAAACCAAAACAAAGAGGTAAATAATATTCTCACTATCAGTGGGAAACTGAGGTCTGAAATAATTCTCAGGCCATTTGTCACTTCAAATATTTATATTTACACAGTCAATTGATCCATTGTATATGTAAAGACCTTTATTAATGCAGCTTTAATGTCATAATTTAAAGATCTTGTTGTACATAATAAACAAACTGCTTCAAACTGCATCCACCAATTTACCCTTACCTCTTTTAAGTCCCCTATAGCTCCTTTGCAGCTTATTCCTGCAGTGGCTCCCCTCACTGTCACATGATTTGCTTTGTAATCTTGTCGTCTCATCTATGCTGCATGTCTACCTGTTCGCTCTCTCTGTTTGTGTCCCTCTGAGGTTTCATCAGAGGTTTCTTGTCTCTTGTGTTGTCTTCCACACTCCCACTTGTCTTTAGAATACAAATTTAACTATGATACAGAATATGAAAGAGCAGAATACATTTCCTCTAAGTCCTTCTTAGTGAGAATGGTCTGAATATGATATGAACCGTCTGCAGGGGCCTCGTCCCTGCTAGTCAAAGGAATCTCTCCTCTTCTAGGAACACAGCTTTAGTTGAAATCCTTTTTTTTTTTCATTGAATAATATTTTATTGACATGTCATTCCTGCAGTGTTTAAACTAAACAGAAAGCCTCTGCTGCAAACTCCCATTGGTTCTATTTCCATGACAGCATGCATGCATTCATATGTGCACACGCGTATTTATTACACATTCATCATTCTTTGTGTTTCTGTACACAGGTTCACGGAACAAGAAACACAAAGAACCCTCTTTCAATATATGCCTATGTGTGTGAGAGAGACGGGGGTGCGTTCAGGGGTACTGTAGGGACTTGGCAGTGGCATCCTGCAGCATTCCTTTCTGTCTCTCACACACACCCCTTCCTCACCCCTCATCTCTTTTATCATCAGGTTCCCAGAGACTGCTACTTTGTTTTTCTGTGTTTGAGAGAAAAGAGAAGTAGAAAGAACAAGGGGGGGAGACACAGTGTCTCTCCAGTGACAGGGTAGGTTGTGTGCAGTCAGTGGGAGTACATAGTTTCATGATTTGAGGTTTCGCATGTGTGTAGGTTACTTGTGGGCGGTTGTTTTTGAGAGTATCAGGGCTTGAAGTACAGCCATTGTTAAGTGGGAGGGTCACTGACTGCAGCGACATCACCTTGCAAACATGCCAGGATCTATCCTCTAATGCTGTGTGATGTTATGTCCTCCTGTGTGTGTTTGTATATAGTTTGTGTATGTTGCTGAGAAGATTACTCATCCTCTTCTTGTTTTTTAAAACATATTAAAAGTGACAGAGTGAGGAGATGACCCACTTTCTTTCTCTTGGAGTATCAACATACTGTGCTCGTGTCCCACAGATTAATTGTAAGTACCTTATTTAAAACATTCAAGAGACAAATTGTGTTTGACTTCCCAGCTCAGATATAATTGGAAACACAATTAGCATAGTCTTTTTGGTTTATTTGCCATTTTAAAGACATTAAATGAAAATGTTCTTCATTTATTAAAGTTATTCATAGGCCTTTTTGCCTTTCATTAGATAGGACAACTGAGTAGAGACAGAAAATGTTGCCGCTGCAACGAGGACTATAGCCTTTGTACGTACTGCTAGGCTATCTGGCGCCCCAGATGTTCTTTATTTTTTAGATAGTGACCTAGATTTGTGTATTAGTCACTTCTTGGGCAATTGATCTGAAGAATACCAAGGACTAACACGTGTCATATACGGAAAAAGCAAAATGTTTCAAAGAACAATAATTTCCTTGTATATATAGTCTGAGTACGGTATACTGTATATGAGAGATGGTGATGGGTACTGTCAGTCAATTAGTGTGCACTCTCCGCTCGCTCTGCCCCTGCTGCTCCTGTTCAGTATGATGGACACACACTGGGCTGTCAAAGCACTCTTATTAAGTCCCTTCAGTAAATGCACTGACTGATACAGACACGTGTGTGTGGTAAGAGGAAAAAGACACAGCAGGACAGTTAGAGGATATACAGTCACATGTGTTCTGAATGACTGCTAGACCATTGAAGGTAACGAACTGCAAAATCATTTGTGCTGTCATTTTTATAAAATGAAAATGTTTGACTAAAATAAATATACAGTTGAAAAGGTGTGCGTATCGTGATTGAACAGCATTTATTTAATCAGGTTTTTACAATACAACAGTTTGAAACATTCATATTACTACCCTTTTTTTAAAGATATTTTTTAACATACCGTCAATTTAGAGTCAACCTAACATACGACTTTGGAAGAGAAAACCCACTTGAACATGCAGAGAACATGGAAACTCTTTAAAGATCAGTACAAATGCTTGAGCAGGAGAACACTAAAGAGCAAGTTTTATGATGTTTTTTTGCAAAAGCTTTGTGGATGTCTTCACTCCTTCACATCATTTATGTTGCAGCAGGAGCAAAGATTGCTCCAGGAGAATATGCAATTCTTCGTCTCACCAGTGTAGGTGGAAAGAAGGTCTGTGTTGTCTGGTTGGATCCTGGTGGTGTCCTGTTGAGTCCTTGTTGCGCCCAGCGCTGCTGCAGCAACTGCATTCAGGTGGATACTAAACAAACATTCAAAAATAGTTAGTTCATTAGTACTGCAATGTTAACACGTCCCAAAAAAATTGCTTTTTATCTTTGATCAGTTCCTCTGAATTGTTGGAGTGAAAATAGTCTTACCTTGTTTCATTGTCCTCTTCAGAGGACAGGCCCAATGTGTTCCTTGGGTTTGAAGGACGAACCATGATGACATTTGATGACAGAGTTTCACCTGAACTGTTGAATCAAGATGAGACATTAGTTGCACATAAAATTGTCAGCTGCATGCAGTCTTGTCAATTCTGTACTTAGTACAAAAAACCCTTAAAAATGAAGTTGTCTTTGGCTAAATTCAGCCAATAATAAGAGCAATAGAGAATAAGAGTTAACACAAACCTGTCATCACCCAGGGTTCTTTCTTTGGCCTGGCTGATGTTTGGTTTAAATGTTGCAGAAAATGAAGGTTCATCACTGTCCAAAGAAAAACTCTGTTATATTATTGGCCAAAAAAAAAACCTGATTCCACAGTGTTTCAATAGCTGTTGATTCCCACATTGAAAAGTGGCATTACAAGGATTTGAAATTTCCCATTTATAGAATTACCAACACTCACCAGGATCTGAGGTGGGAGCTCCTGTCAAGGTAGCTCATGGTAATGAAAGGATGGTTTAGAATATCAGTGGGAATAATCCTCTCATTACTGTCCCACGTGATCATCGCCTTTAGCAGGTCAATGCACTCCCTCCTCTCGACGGTTTCTCTCTTTTTGCAGTTCTCCAGACATATCTAGTTAGGAAAACAGTCAGAAAACACAACAGTGTTTTTTCACTGAAATCAATACAGTCGTTTTTTAATGGCAGCTTGAACACCTACTTTTGTCATTTCATCCACAGAACGGAAGGTGTAGAATCTGTTGTCAGTGGAATAAACTGTTGGTCCCCAATACTCCTCGAGTGTCTGAAATTAAGTTGTAAATATTTCAGATACACATGGGCCTACATCTCAATATGCTTAAGTGTAATGTAGTAATGAATAAATATCTTAATTAGAGAAACAGCATTTGGAAAAGTCAAAGCTTATACCTTCAGTATCCACTGATCTGAATCTGTTCTTATGAAGTATACTCTGGATTTCCGCCCTGCATTGAGTAGATGGACAGGTGGTGGACCCAGTAGGTCTTTGATGAATCGCAGCTAGAGACAAAACCCATTATGAAATATATTTGTTAGAAATGCTGCCTGAGTGATTTTTTTTACGAGGCTCAGGGTCAGTCCTTCTGGGTATTTGAGAGGTCATGATCAGAAGTAACACAAATTCAACCAATCCCAGTGCAATCTGTGAAATCATTTGCAATATTTGGCCAGACACTCCAACTCTTCCAAAACTTTAAAAGTAAGACTTTGGTGTGATCTTCTCTCTTTCCGATGACTTCTAATCAAGCCTTGAACCACTGTTTTGTTTTAGACCGATCACTATTTGATCAGCTGCTCCCAATCAGTCGGATGAATTTCGGACATGTTTGATATTTTGGTAGTACAACTGCACACAATTGCACAGTTTGTGTTTATTGGTGATGCAGATGTGTGCTTGTGTACCGAGAGAGAGATATTTTTTTTGACCAGTGTGTACAACCCAGTTGAGACATGCATATGAGACAACTGAAATCAAGCTCTGTCTGCGGGAGTTTTCTATTGAATACAATGCTCCGTCACGATCTTATTCGTACGGTGTAAGCTCTCAGGTCAAAAACTGTATGGAGTCGTTCAGTGTGAGGACACAAGTCGTGAGCTCTGGCCTTGTGTCGTAAACAATTCTGTCGTTCTGTGTGAGCTGACATTTCACCACGACATTACAAGTGTACAGTGAACGCTGAGCTTTAGGTGATAACTAAACTTTAAAAATAAATTAAAGAATGTTCGTAAAATGATGAAATGTTTGTACAAGATGCTAAGATTATTTTATTACCTGTTCATTCTTAATAGAGTAAACTTACGTTGGACATTTAGGGAGAATTTATAGATGTAACAGTATTAAAGAAAACAAGAATACAGTCCTGTTAAAACTACTTACAGTGTCATATTCAATTCTTCCAGGGAAGAGCATAAAGTCTAACATCATGACAGCCATTACACAGCCCAACGACCAGATGTCCATGGCCTCAGAATATGGGAGACCCAAAATAATTTCTGGAGCCCTAAAAAGCATTATAGAAATTAGAGACAGTGTCAAATCTTAATAATTTAAGTAATACTCAAAAAAATATATTACAAACTGTTTTCACAGTAGTATGAATTCAGGAGTTCTTATATTAAAAATGATCTGTTCTCTCACCTATAGCAGGGGACTTGATGAGCCCAGCCCAGCTTGGCTTGTGATTTAAAAATTGCCAAGCCAAAGTCTATGAGCTTCACCTTGAATGGTTGTGTCTCATGATCCACCATCATGATGTTGTCCAATTTCACATCAGTATGGATCACACCAATTTCCTTCAGACCACTGAGTGCTACGGCCATCTGCAAGAAATAATTAAGGTTTTTTTCCATGACATTAGTCTATAAAAAAAGATGTTGTTGTGTCGAGGTGTATTTTCTATGTAATGCCAAACCTGTGTGATGATGCTTCTGATGTCTTTCATAGTCATAGGGCCATCTATCTCCAGCAGGTAGTCCTGGAGGCTGATGTCCAAAACCTCAAACACAAGACTTCTCCTATATTTCTCGATGACCTCTCCGTAGAATTTGACAATGTTGAACTTGTCCATTTTGTTTCGCATGAGGAAACGCAGCATAGACGCCTGAGGAGGAGAAGAAGGAGTTCTTATGCAATTAAAAGCCCTTAACTAAAAAACTACAGCAATCATTATTAATGGTACAAGTAGATTAATCCCCAAAAAGGGATACTTTGCTCGGGTCCAGCTGCAAAGGGTGATGGGGTGTGTGCACAGTCTGCTCTGCCAACTTAGGTCCAGAAATTTTTACATGTAGTCCTGTCATTTTTATCATAGCAAACAAACCCAAACCCTAGTCGCTAATTTAAATAAAAAGACATGTGTTTCACTTATGAAATCACAATCAACAGCCTCATACCTCCTTGCTGGGATCATGGTGTTGTTGAATGATCTTGATAGCCACTGTCTGGTTCGTGTCAAGGTCCAAACATTTGACAACTTTTCCAAAGCCACCTTGACCCAGAATCTTCAGGACCTTGTACTTTTTGGGAATTGGTAGATTTGGTTCATGGCAGATCTCAGGAGAGGATGACGAAGATGAAATGTACATATCCATAGCCATATCCATGTATTTTCTCACAGACGTTTGTTTAAAGCTGAATAATACTGATTGATTTAAAGCTTGATTTTGACTGCTCAGACCTTTGTCCAGCACTTATCAGTCCTGTTGAACCAAGAATAATGACCAGAAATATCAGGCAAAACTCTCTGTGTGACTGCAGTTCTAGAACATCTGGTTGGTTCTGGAACGTCTAGACACTGTAATGGAGAATTCCATGGTTATGTTAAACACTGTGAAGTGACTGCAACATTACTTTATGATAAAAGCCATTATGTATAGCTTTTCATTTAACTTTTCACCAAAAAAATGATTTGACAGATGTTGTGTGCTCTATACAGTACGTGCAACATACAGAAACAATTATATGGTGTTTGGAAACTAGCTAGATTTGGCTAAGATACGACTTTACATTTTTTTGTACATACTTCATTAATCCCTTAAGGACATCCTTAACCTCTCCAGCAACCAGACCAACTTCCATATTTTAGTCTGCACTAGGACTTGAACCAGCGACCCTCCAAGTCCCTACAGACTGAGCTACTGCATGCCAAAAATGATTCATCATGATTAAGAATTCATTATTAATTAGTCATTATGTATTTATCTAACTTTACTATGCATCAATAATAAATAATGTATTCATACATTTTGTAAAGCATTTATTTTTTAATTATGTGTGAATACTTACATTCTAGCTAATATGTATATGCTAACATTGTCATCTGTGGCTAATCTGACATACCCACTGGTGTTTTAACCTCTAATATGGTCCAAACACCCTCCAGATTTGTACTATCCATTGTCTTCTTAGTTGGCAAAAAAGTGAAAGATTTGTCATATTCCCTACATTTATCAGATTTTCAGCTAGAACAAGGCATTTGGGCATGTTAAAGGCACCTGAGCTTCGAATGTATAGCTTGACATAAGAGGAACTGACCTCCTTCTACTTTCCCCTCACCCATTACCTTCAACATTATGAAAAGTACAGGCCACACACGTTTGCAACAACAAGCATACACAAAAACACATTTAATTGCAAAACAGAACCTGTGTGGAAGGCAGCGCCACAGCTGAGGAATGCAACAAAAGACTGAGCCAAGACAAAAGCTATTCATTCAGTCAGAGCCCCTTTGTGAACAAACACACAAACAAACAAAACACTTAGTGGAATGTGTTTGCATGTTAGTGAGACAAGTTTTCAATGTGTTCACATGAACACAGCTCTAAACACTTATGAGCACACACACAGTTTATGGTTAATTGCTAACCTATCTGGCTCTTGATCAGCCCCTAAAATGAAACGCTGACAGTTTGGTCTGTTTAACCCTCTATTTCTCTCTGGTTATTGCAGACTGTTACTTTGTAGTTGGTTGTGTGTGTATGTGTGTTCAAATCTTAAATCGAACAATGTTTGACTGTGTGTGTGTGTGTGTGTGTGTGTGTGTGTGTGTGTGTGTGTGTATACGTCTACATGTCTACAGAGCAACACAAGTGCAGCTACTCTGATAGTCTTAGAGGGAAAATTGACCTAGAAGGAGTCCTTTGTGTTTTTCTTTAACATGATGCAACAATTGCTACCTGCAGACGTGAAGTGTCCCAGTGAGAGTCTGACTTTATCCAATGACTTCCTGAACAGAAGGTACGCAGTCATAAACACAAAGAGGTGGGAAAATCTGTATGTAGACAATGTCAAGGAGTACAAAATGTCCACAATTATAAATTTGTCCAAACTCCTTAACATCAGTAACATGAATGTGTCCATCTATATGTTCGTGTGTGCATGCCAGCTCATTTATTCAGCAGCCAAGTAAACAATGTCAAAGAGTTACGATTGTGTTAAGCACTTCCTACAATGTCATTAATCTCAAGCTATTCAGAAAAAGACACATGAATCCTTTGTGCTGAGCTGGTCAGTAAAATCACACTGAATAAAGCTGAACTAATACACATAAATTAGTCCCTGAAATAAATTACAACCTGCAGGCAATGTGTACTCTTAGCATGGCTGAGTTCATTTCAGTTCTGTAGGCGGAAGAAGGTAGTAGTCCAGTATCCTACGAATAAAGTCACATCAAAAAATGAATAGGAGCCAGCCTCATTAGCACACAACATGAAGAAGTAATTCACTTTTTAATTTGAATGAAGTGAAAATTAAACTCTCCCAAGGCTATTTTCCAAGCTGTCTCTGCTGATTTGCATTTTTCCCTGGATGAGAAATGAATAAATGACAAGTGAACACAAAAACACCCGCATCACGTCACTTTTGTTAAATACATGATTTATGTGCACCGTTGCATTAAAAACTAAACTTTCTCATTCTGAGTGACAGTACAGTAGCTGCCAAAGGCATCAGAGTATTCTACATATCAAAGCAGCCTTTGCTCAAAGAGCATCTCTCTGATTGAGGTTATCATTAAGTGCTGGATTCTTGGCTGAACAAAAAGTGTTACATTACCTTCTATTACTTCTAGTATCAACGAAACCGGCGATAGTTCTTCTACAGTGTGTTAGAAATATAATGTGTAAATCATTCTTCACAGTGTGTGACTGCAGATGATGATTAGAAATGTGTCAATGTATCATTTAATGATGAGATGAATCACAAAATCACTGCTGGTGGAGTATTTCTGTGCTCAAAACCGAAAAGGATTACAGCCATCATAGAAAGCACATTGTTGGTCCACACTCCATCAGTCATCGCTGTGATTTGTTTATTTCAAAGTTCAAATGTTTTCTTCTAAGTCATCTGAAGGCACGAGGAATGGACCTGGCAGCCAGCCATGTCAGAGACGTCTCAGTACAACATAAAGTCCTGCTCTGGCTACGGCAGGTCTACAGAAACACTGAAGGCTCCTTTGATGGAAACTTCATGCTGATTAAAGATAAATAGTACATGGTGATTGTTTGATTTGAGTTTCATTTTACAAAATTAGAAAAAATTGAAAATTAGAAATACACATGGCAGTTGTTTGATTGTTGCGGTGACACATGACCAGGCAAACATGATCTTTTTAAAACAAAAAAGTGAAACAAATGGTTACAATAATGTTAAGTATCCTTGCAATCATTAATCATTCAAACTCTCACCCTGATTTAAATGAGGAATGAACATGGTAACGTCATCTTGTGACCCTTAGATGAGGGCAAAAGCAAACTGGGAAATGATGTGTATCCACTGTATTGCTAATTAGAGAAGCAGCCAAAAAAATGATACATACAAAGCTATAGCCAGTAGCTAGTAGGCATAATTACTGGGAAAAAGGAAACAGCTTATCAGGATCCAAAGGTCTCTAAATCCACCTGTTTGCACCATAAACACTCAGAGAATTAGCATGTGAAGTCTTATTTCATTATTCTGTGCAATAACCAAAGTGTAGAAATACCAAGTCAGTTGTATAGTGATCATGTGCAGATTAATTTGTTGTCAATACAAAATGAGTTAATTAGAAGGGCTTGTAAGTGGATTTCTTTATCATTGGAACAGGGCTAGCTGTATCCATTTTTTTTCCATTTGTCATTTAGCTAAGCCAACCAGCTCCTTGCTGCTGTTTTATATGTTCGTTTGAATCTCTGCTAGAAATGTGAAAAGGTGTATTATCTTGAAGATCAGAGATCTTACTATTCCTTCAACTACACTAATCACTTTTATCCTTATCATAAACGTTTATACACATTAATTACTTGTAATATCTCTGTGGAAATTGTATCACACAAACCTGGATCCAAAGTGTTTTGCACAAAATAGATTAAGCAAGTTGTCAGAGAAGTTTTTATCAGCCATTTTCTTTCTCTTCATTTTTGTAATTTTAAACCTTGTGTGCATTTTTATTCTTGTTAATTGAGTTCTATTTTTGGGCATTAACACTTAAGTTCAATGTCAAATCAGTCAAACACGGAAATAGTTTTACCACCAGAAGGTCACCATATGCGACCTGTTAATAGAATACTATGACATTATGAAATGTTTGTCACATTGTGGGAAACTCTCCAGGTGACTCTACCCTGACGTTTTGATGATAAACGCTGACACAGCAAACAAAAGATTTCAGGAGACGTTAACAAAGACAAACGCACAAAGTTTTTCCACAGTGTGTCAAATATTTGGTGAAGAAAAATGACTGAGTGAAATTCAGAGTGTCCTTTCAGAACTAATGGTGAATAAATTATTTAATTGGTAAATGGGAGGCAGATTGCCGTAACATTTTGATTGAATTAAAAGTGAATTCATCTCAACTGTGCTGCACAAGTCCAGTCCTTCCAATCCTGGACGTGACAGTAATGCCCAATCTGCTCCTTTCTGCCTGAATACATCAGTCTTCTTCTACTTCTGGTTCAGTCTATGTTTTCCTTCTGTGGTTCTCCAGTCAACACTTCAGTGTATTCAGCCCTAAAAGGGAGTTTATCCCGAAGAAATCTGCCCTTGTCATACCAAGCAAAACAAATCTTGATTGCTCTCTCCAGTGTTTCTTTAACTTGGAGTTGAAGACCCAAAAAAGGTCAATTTCCAGGTAGAGGCTACATTCACTCAGCTTGGGTCCCCAACTGGAGGAGTTTGATGAGGAGTACTGCATGCAGGCTGCAGAGAGGTGGCTAATCAAGGTTGATTTCTTATTTCAAAGGAGATGAAATGTCCCTTTTCAAAGTCAGGCCACCAGACCCAGAC